TATATATATATATATACACATATATATATATATTGTATATCAAGAGTTATATAATTTCAGGGAGTTAGGGAAGAAAGCACGCGCTTCACATTTGCTCATGATAACAACGAGCGATGCATAGTACAAACCGAAACCTGCGCATAACATTATAGGAGCTCATGGATATAGAGATCTCTATTTGTATATTCATGATAACTAATAATATTATTTAACTTACGAAGATTTGCCGCCGCCAGTCTGTCCCATAATCGCGTTTATTCCTGGACCAAATATCCCACTGGAATTTCGCAAGACTCATATTAGATCATGTAAACATAGGAATTCTTGTAATTAGGTCGTGATACTACATAACAATCGCAAATGATCATACTAGTAACTATTTACATTGGTAAATTAATTATAGCATGATACATTATATATTACTAGGTATATGTCAGACATACGAGCAATGAAAATTGGTTTTCATGCATATTCGATAGTACAATGTGTAAAAGTGATCTGAAAGATAAGTCTGATGTTAATTGTATCTGTCAAAAACGTTGATGATACACAAATATGATAGACTTTAGCGGTGCTCCTATTTGCGGAAGAACAAACGTCATGTATGTATCAGACACTTATCTGATGCACCTGAATAAATCCATGAAAATGACCCCATGTATATTCAATACAGGCAGCTAGATATCTGTCGATAGAACGCAGAATATATCAGTATCAGTAGAACGCACGCGAAAGACATGAGCTATTTATTTTAAAAGCTTTTAAAATTTAGATTATAGAACTCGTTGAGGATGTCCGTCCACATTGTACTCGCCATCACTACCACCGATTATTCTTCAAATTAAGAGGGCCTGAGAGCACCTAATTAATTGCCAGACTTGCCCCTTTTAACATATCAAAGATCACGCATTACATTTTGCACACTTTTCCAATCCGTCCGCATGTTTATGTTTGGCCATCCACTATTGGACATAGACATATATACACATCAAGAGTGCATAATAGAGATTAATCTCTATTATGCACTCTTGATACACATATATCCATATTGACTTAGAAGAATTTCATACACACACATCGAACATTGGAATTGTTTATCTAATCTTACCAAGTAATAGGTAATTACATTACTGAAAATTTATTATTCCAACCTGACTCCTTTCAGAATGATCTTGGTTTCCTTCTTCACCTTTATCGAGTATTTAACATCATGGAACGATATCACGGAGCCGATTTTAGTTTTGCGTAGTTTTTCGCGTCCCGATCCGGGCCTGCCACGCGTTATTGAGCCGTATGAGCGCCGATTCGTGCTCATGGAACGATGAAAATTCCCGCCATCGGCTGCGCTGTTGAGTCGTCGGGTCGACATCGACGGCGTGGACACAGGGTCGAGTTCTCGATGTCCATGTTTGTACTTGAACGTTGCCGGTCTCCTAACATCAAGGACAACGTCCTGACGCTGCTTCGCCAACATAGCTGATGCTATATGGCTATTCGTAGATTATATTCGAGCTTTACTATCCTCGTTCCTTTAGTGGTATTAAGGGTGGTAAGCTCACGTAACTTCGCGATTCAGCTCGGCAATGGCAAGATGGTACACTTCCTAATAATAATGTTCTAGTGGTCTTATGCGCACTGCCTACCTAGAGTACAATACCCGCAATAACCATATTCTACCTCTCAAATTGCACTAAATATATATGCAAGCCTTAATGGACCTTTGAACTTGTTTAACGCATAAGGTCGCAGGTAATCACATTAATAAATACAAAGTGCGATGTGTGACGTTGCAGCTCGTGTCCCTCTTTGTTATCGGTATAGATAGCCACGTAAATCGCGATCTACGTGTAAATAGGTGCATGACACACTATAAAAAAAGAAGGTAGGACCCTGCAATCCAAGTTGAAATCAGTGATTAATATTAGTTATAGTCTTAACATTGTGTGTTATAGCTATAGGGTCACAGGACCACATAAAATGTAAAATATTTTTGATGGCAAATTTTTCTAACCGATTCCGAATCCACTATACATTCGTGCTATAAAGGGGAATTTTACGACAATGACCGATATTTACGAATATTTACGAATATACGAATTATACGAATATTACGAATATTACGAATATACGAATATTTACGACAATGACCGAAAATGTTGCGCGTTGTTAGGGCGTGGGGGAGCATGCGCATCTATGAACACATAGTTTCGGCAGTAGTTTTGCATGTAAACTTGGAACTGATAGACACACACACACA